TGCAATTGTGAGAGCAATTTCTCACATGAATACGAATCAATGCAATCAAAAGATGGAAATTGCCCCACCATCACAAAAGAGAGAAACCTCCTTCACTTTGCACTGAAAAAAAATGCAAGAAAACAAGCCAGAGTTTTGCCTCTTAAGACTGCCTACACTGGGTTCTTGTTTGAAAGTAGAACATTTATTAAAATTCATATGTTGTGATTTTAACTTTCCTTCTAATAAGTATCACTAATCAGCCCTCTGAAAGACTGGCTCTTGCTTGATTGTTTCCAATCTAGATGGCTAGGAGAGAAGTTTGACAATGAGGAAAATAAAGATGTATGAGAAAATAATGAAAGGCTTGGTGAATTGTTCAACACTTGAACAAGGGGGAAAACAAGGAAATGTAATGTCTCTTTGGTTGTTTAATACATCTATAGATAAATGTATAAGGAGAGATTATAGTAAAAACAAGGGTGTATTGCCTAGCAACATGAATGCGAATGTACCTTTGCATACAGATGATAGCATGTTGTTGGCAGAGAACCCCAATCGTTTGCAGTGAAAGAGATTATATAATGCATCAAGAAATATGAATGTGCCAGTCAGTTACTAAAATACCAAGGCAGTCATATTGAAGAGGGAAAAACTAGGTGAATGGTTGCAAGTTATAAATTGTAACAAAAACTAAAGCAAATTGTTGAATTTATGTACTGTACATTGGTAAAACATTGAGCAAAGTTAGGAAAACGAGTGGAGATGTTTTAAGATGTGCAAATGCTGGTGGCAGATAGTGGATTGTTTATGGTTTGTTATAAACAATGAGTATTAGTCAGAAGAAGCAAAAGAGTGCGTGTACGAAGTAAGTTATTGTCTACTTTGTTGGATTAAATGAGAGTAGGAGATGTCAGGAGAAATAGCACAGTAAGCCGAATGCAGTGCAAGCAAGCGCGTGTTGTAAAAAAGAAAAGAAAAGATAGGGTCAAGAATGAACGGGTGCTGAATGAATGTAGAATGAATAGAAAGCTGACTATTAGTCTGAAAGAAGCATGATGAGGTGCTTTGGTCATAAACAGAACAAATGAGGCTCTAATTGCAACAATATATAAAGGAAGAATGAATGAGTCAAGACAAAAGTGAAAACAAAGTTGTGGTTAGATAGCTTCTCAAAAAGAAAGAGAGGACAAGTTTAGCCAGCAAAAGTCTACAGTATAGTTTAAATCAGTGTATGGATGTACAAAGATCACTCGCAAATGTTAGAAAGTACAGAAAGGTAGAATGAATAGCGTATATTTCTTTTTTCTTATTTCATGTTTTTAATTCATTTGGCTTACTCTTTCTTAATCCTTTTCTGCATTCTGCAAGGAAAAGCGTGATATGTATGTATGAATATATGGCACTGTGTTCACCTGTGCTATGACTTGGTTATCTTATTTTCTTAATAGCTGTCCTGGTCCATAGCTCCAGCTGAAGTGTTTGAAGATGGGTAGTTGATCACCCTTCTCCCATGTACTCTTTCTGAGATTACAGCAGGGCTATGGAGGCACCCCTCCAATGTAATCATCTCTGTCGGTCAGTAGCACGAGCAGAGCTCAAATGCTTGGGGGTCTTTCATTTTCTTAATGGTTTGGCTTCTGTGCAGCATCTAATTCAGATGTTGTGGTTATTATAAAAAACACCATCTTTTCCCCTGAGAATAATTTTACAAGCCTAAATTTGCAATTCATTAATTGTAAATTCATAGGCTAAATGTAAGAGTACTTACTTGCATGATATCAGTTTCTCTAATTTTTCCCTGATCTTTTTGCTTGCACATGAAATACCCAAGATACTAATATAATGAATGACTTGCAGATGAAGGATATTTAAAAAAAAGGAAAGAAAGAAATGGTCAAATTTGGATTTGTGGTTTCTTTTACTTCATCGCTTATGAAACAATACACAGAAAGTATTTTGCCTCTTTATTGAAATGAATATGTAAAATATACCATCTTTTTTTCTGGAAAGCAAAAAGATGCCTGTTTACTTTTATTTTGGCTTTTGTGCTCCTATTGCTGTAACAATAGTGCTATAAAACAGGGATGAAATGATGCAAACAAACTGCTATACAGTTCTAAATTTTAAAATACAGGATGATTTGATGTTTAAATATAAAACATACATAACTAATATTATAAAACCAGATTGGAATTTATGCTTCAGTCATGGGCATAAAAGTTTTCATTTAAATAGAGAAATTTAGTGCATTTGAATAATCTCCCATTTATTGCAGTTTTTATATAAGAAATTGCATCTGGCATTTACTATGCAAGTAGATTGGACTTTTCTAGTAGAATGAATAGGTAGTGAATGCTATAATTCCTGTATATACTTATTTCATAAATTGTGCACTGTCCACTGGAATGTTTTTGAGTTGCTTGAGATATGCATATGCATAATTGCAGTTAAACAGCTTTAGATGGAAGCCAGATACTGATTTCAATGTAATGTAACTTTATATAATAGAAATTTCACTTGGGACCAATTTATAAGCATGGTAGAATATGTCATTTATGATTAGCATTGACTGATTGTGCCATCATGAGTATAATATGTGGAAATGATTCTTATGCAAAACCTATTCATGGATGTAATTGGAAGGAAAAGAAAAAGAATTGTTATAACCACGTACGTCACAAATGGTGGTGTACAATAAAATATTTTAAAATCCTGGATACAAATGTATAATGAAACTGACTCTCAGGATACTACGATTTTTTGAAATGTTATTATTTTGACTGGTTTTGATAATATGCCAGTTCATTACAGAAGCCTGCTTGGACCATGTGATCAAGAAGTTATACTCTAGTCAGTTTTAGTTTGATTATTACTGGTAATTAAAGCGTAATTCTAGATTTTCATAACTAAAAACTCAATGGAAAGTATCAAAAAATTATACATTTTATTATGATTATTTTTAATATAGTCAGCATAGAATAATTATTTGTACTCTCAAAAATATATATTCATGAATGAATATGCACTGTTTGTATTTCCATTACATCGTTACTACATGGCATTAATAAGATCGTTTTTTAAAAAGTTATCTATAATTCATACTTAGTACTGTATAACATGTTCTCTAAGCAATAATGTCTACTTTGTTTACTGGTGGTGAAATATTTTAGAAGTTGATTTTCTTTGTAATACAAAATTAATCTCCCAGTATTGGTTTACATAACAGCTAGGAGAATTGAGCTTGAAAAGTGCCTTTAGACTAGTTCTGGTTTGTTTCCTACTGTAACATTTCAAAATTCAAGTAACAATAAACCATATTAAGGAGAAAGAAATGCAGGGTGTAATTATTTCAAGCCTTCTAGAAGTAGAGTGCAATGACCAACATGAAATGCTAAATATTTTTCAGAAACAAATATTTAATCACAAACTGGCTGAAATAAAACAGGCATTTTCCTCCATAAGAGAATAGACGTGCTAACCATTATCCTTGAGGTGGCAGAAAATTAGACGACACGTGTTCTGTCCTCATCCTGATTCTGTCCCGCGTCTATTGCCTGTCTTTAAAGTCATTTGACATCCTTAAAATGGCATAAGTGCCACAGAGGAACAGATTTTACACCCCTTGAAGTTCTCCTTGGATGGTGTCAGAATAAAGGGTGGGAATATTGCTTTAAAGGGAGGCTTAAGCTGTCTCTTTCAGTGGGCTGGGGTTAAGATGCAAGCAACATCCTGGGGTCACTGGAAAAAAAGATGTTGCCACTTGTGTGTGCTGTGGTTAGGTACAAATGGGAAGAGACTCTACAAACACCTGCTTTTATTGGCAAAAACTGCTTGGATCATCCAAAGTACTTTCAGTAAGTTTTAAAAGGTAACTAAATCGTTCTGCTGTTTATAAAATTAACATCTCAAGCTGGAGCAAAGATGGTAAAGTACTTTCTTCATCAAACTAATAGTTAAGCTGATTAGAGTTTATGAAACCAGCTTTGTACCTATGAATAAATGCCTGTAGCTTTACCTTATTTTTTTTTAAAAAAAAGACTGATACAAGTATGTGATAATTCACCATCTGCTTACATCATTCCCACATAAAATTAGTTACTTACCAGTGCAGCCATTTTGTTAATGTTATACGTGTTAATAACATTGTACAAGGCTAAAAATGACATGATCACTACTTTTATTCACAATGGTACTCATATTATCTTCGTGGGGCACTACATTCATTTCTCTGAATAGGATCAGGAAACCAGCTGAAGGCTTAGTCAAAAGCATTTCTCATCATTAAGGTAAAGCCTTTCTTCCAAAACAGGTCGTCATTGCATTTTAAATGCTATGCCAAATAATACACATGTACATTTCAATATGTACTCAAAGGACATATATGTGTACCACGCGAGAATAAAAAGTAGTTTTAAAATGCACAGTCATTTGTGCAAGCGCATTGCCAAAAGAGAATGCAAAATAATGGCTCTTGCTCTGAAATTAATATGCTGCTTTCCTTTCTGAATTACAGAAACTTAGAAGTACTTACTGATAATTTGTGTTTTCATGTCAATGGGAAGTAACGGGTTAAATATAGTTTGCTGCTTATGCATATTCTATCTGCATCAGACATGAAAATGCCGCTTTCAGTTTTTGGTTGGTTTGGTCATAATTTTGGGGAAGTGCTGCAATTCATACTGCTCTCTATATTACCTCATTTGAATAATCAGCCATCGTTCATGCTAATAAAGCATTTCTTAATTTTTAATTCTGTATTTGGCTCTCAGTGTTAACAAAAATTGGTTCCAAATTGTGAGTCCTAGTATGAATATAACAATGCATCATGGAGAAATCCATGTGAATATAATTTCTTATTCCTTCATGTTCAGAAAATAAATTGGATTAATATAAGCCTAGGCTAATTTAATTTTTATTTCAAAGTTCTTAAATAAAAAGAGAGCATTCTGGAATGAACTAAGCACATCCAATGCCATAACAAATAAAACCGTCATTAACAGTTTTTTATTCATTTGCAGAAACTAAATGCATCTAGTTCATCTGAAGGTAGCACAGTTGATGTTGGACTTCCCCAAGTTGGAGAACAACCAGAAGCTGAACCTGAAGAATCTCTTGAACCAGAAGCCTGTTTTACAGAAGGTGAATAATATAAAATATTGCAAATCTTTCAGTGCCTGTCTTAAGGGGCCCCGATCTAGCAAAGGACACAACTGGCATAAAAAAGGAGATGTGCAAAGGCCTCTCCAAGCAGGAGCTGTGAATCTAGGAAGACACCCAGACTGTGTAGCAACCTTGAAGGGAGATGAAATATTTCCAGATCTGGACAGTTCAAATACCCACAGCCACATCATCTTCATAGGGTTGAGTCAGAGATAGTTCCACCCCATCCAAACCTCCAGGCACTGGGATAGAATCTTGAATCAGCTGAAATACATGTATGCAAAGTCTCAATTGTGATAAATAATTTCCTTTGGGCATCAATGAAACTGTCCTATGAAAACTGATTTTGACAATATAGTACAGTGATGGTGAACCTTTTAGAGTCCAAGTGCCCAAACTGCAACCCAAAACCCACTTATTCATCGCTGGGTGCCAGGTGGGCATGGCCCACTGGGTGGGCGTAATCACCCCGATGTTGCTCGTGGGGAGGGACGTCTGTGGGGGCCGGGCAGGGTTGGGGGAGATCCAGGGGGTCTCTGGCAGGTGGGGCGGTGGGCAGGAGGCTCGTCCTGCAGGGTGAAGCGAGGCAAGGAAAGGCAGGGTGGGGGTGCCATTGTCACAGGGAAAGGTGAGGCAGGGGCCGGGGCGGCTGCTGCCTGACACCATCGGCCCCTGCACACAGAGGCCAGTGAGCGCATGGGTGCTGGGATGCATCCGGCCATGTGGGACCTCGGCGAGTTAGCGGGCAGCTGGTTTAAGAGGGATGGTTGCCATCTCCGGGGCATGGCGTGCGTGCCCACAGAGAGGGCTCTGAGTGCCGCCTCTGGCATGCGTGCCATAGGTTCGCCACCACTGATGTAGTAGATTTCCAAAGCATCATTTCAAATTAAACCAATTAATTTTAGAATGAGAAAGGGCTCCAAAGCTATCTACTGGTTTAAGAGTATATTCTGCTGAAGATATGTAGTACTGTAATTGTTACTCTGTTTTCATTTGCTGTATCATCTTGCATATTTTGCCAGGCTGCATCCGGAAATTCAAGTGCTGCCAAGTCAGTGTAGAAGACGGCAAAGGAAAATTGTGGTGGAATCTTCGGAAGACTTGTTACAAAATCGTAGAACATAATTGGTTTGAGACTTTTATTGTCTTCATGATTCTCCTTAGCAGTGGTGCTCTGGTAATTTTTAGAACTTGAAAACCATTCATTATCGTAGAGATTTAGCGTAGGAAATAACCCAGACACATAATTATCTGAAAACCTCTGAATTTTTAGTAGGGATTATCTTTTCTATGAGTCATAGCTATCCCTAAAGTAGTATGATTTTATTGCTTAATTGTTAGAGTTATATCCCACCTTTCATTCAGGAGCTCAAAGTGCTGCTCATAGCATTCTGTCCTATCATTTTTTCCCCTCACAATTACACCTCTACAAATATATTTGATTGACAGAGCAATTAGTCACAGTTACAATTAGTCACTTATATAGTTCAGGGTAGAGTTGAAGCTGGGTTTACCCAGTGCCAGTTAAATACCTGGCTTTTGCACCAAAGTGGTTTTCAATACACGTTTTGTTTTAATTAGTGTACATTCAAAGTGACAATAACGTTATTATTCTATTCTATTCTATTTTCCCTTTAAATTGTTGCATATAATATTCCTACAGAAGAGGGTTGATTTTTGATGCCGTTTTAATCCCAAATAGCTTTACAGAATGGGTGCATGCTTTTATTGTAAGGATTTTTCTTCTAAAAATGAGGTCCATTAATCCCAGTTAAGCAGTATGGTCACAATAAAATAAGATTTCTAAATTGTTCCAAATGGGATAGCAATTCATACTTATATATTGGATTCATACTAGAACAATGTTTTAAACTCCACTGTTACTTCTCTATGAGGGACTAGAGAGGGAAATGATCAATTCAACTGTTTTAGGCTTAGGATTTGGGGTCTAAAATCAGAATTAGCATGGCATTTGGTTTTACCCACCATTAAAAAATAAAAAAAACCATTTGTAACTTTTATCTTTCTATGGAATGGAACAGAAGAAACATAAGGAACTACATATGACTAATAGCTTTATTTAGTTCAATTTGTGAAATTGGGAATAGAATCCCAAAGAGATAACTTACTTTAATTTAATTAGAGATGCCAATAATTGAATCTGCAATGTACTACATATAAAACATGTCATCAGCCACTAAGGTATGGCTTCTTCCAGTAAACTCTATAAAGTAGACCTCTATCAATATCAAATGCTTTTGATATTTTTATCATATTCTGTTTTAATAAATATATTGATTAAAGTGAAGCATTTAAGCCTTTCAGTAGAAAGAGTGGAGAACTGGTTTTTAGTTGTAGAATTTGAAAGCAAACAATAAATAATAAGCCATACTAAAACCAGGGGTGGGGTGGGGTAACTTCTGTCCCCAGGCTTTCGAAGACATATACATTGAGCAGCGCAAGACTGTCAAGACTGTACTGGAATACGCAGACAAGGTCTTCACCTACATCTTTATTTTAGAAATGCTTCTAAAGTGGGTGGCTTATGGCTTTCAAGTCTATTTCACCAATGCCTGGTGCTGGCTGGATTTCCTCATTGTTGACGTAGGTATTTTTTTTGTCTTTAAGCTATCGATACATTGTAGCATGAATTTTTATAGCAATCATTGAATATACAATAAACTCACTACTTTCAGAAAAGGAAAACTTCTGCTTTCAGCTGGGTGAATGGTGTTCAGTAGAATTGCCACTAAGAAACAGGAAGCTCACTCTGGCCACCTCCTACAAAGAAAATCTCTACAAAATGTTCTATAGATGGCATCTCCCACCCATAAGATTAGCTAGAATGGGTTCAAATGCTTCTTCCAAATGTTGGAAATGTAAACTGGCAACTGGGACATACTATCATATGTGGTGGGAGTGCCCACGAGCCCAGGATTTTTGGAATAAGGTTAAAAAATGGCTGGAAGAAATTTTAATGCTAGTGGTAGAGTTAAAACCAGAACTCTTTTTACTAGGCATAACCACGCAGAAATATGACAAAGGGGTATTCTATTTGATGTTACACATTCTCACGGCTGCTAGATTGGTATACGCTCAAAACTGGAGGAATAAAGGAATTCCAACAGAAGAAGNGGGCTTCAAGCTAGTGTTAAGACAGAAATACGTATAACTGTATATATAATTGTATTGTATAGAAGAATACGTTTATTTAGAGATTAAGAATGATGTATTAATTATATGTATTAAGAGGAACAAATTGTTAGGAATATTTATTCTGGAATGTCGCATTATGTCCATTTTTGTTTTAACTGTATTATAAATTTAAAAACTTTAAAAAAAAAGAATTGCCACTGAGCGGAATTCCCTTGGTGAAGCAGAACTTCTGGAAACGGAAATATACAGACAGGTTGAAGTATCATCAGTAAGCTTGAAATGATATGTGACAGGACATCTTTAGGTCCACAAAATTAAAAACTTCCTTATTTCCTTGATAATACCTCATGGAATGAAGTAAAGAATGGCCAAACATTTCTCCCCACTTCACTACCTTTGCTCATTTCAGCCCTCTCAAGAGTGGTATCTGATTCCCTTTTCATCTAAGGCACTTGAGCTGTGGATAGGAACATGTGGGCAGGCAAGGGAGAAAAGACCAGTCTTGTGCAAGTAGGACCAAGGGATCCTTTACTCCATCCTCTTTTGAAAGGGAAAAAGATATAAAGCTCAAGAGATCTAAAGGTTCAAAACTTCTATCTTTGGAGAGAGAGAGAGAGAGAGAGAGAGAGAGAGAGAGAGAGAGAAAGAAGGAGAGAGACATGACAAGAACAAGATGGTGTTGGAGGAAAGTCTAAAAGACCTTAACCATGAACTCTGAGCCGCAAAAAGTAAGATTGCAGATCCTAGAACAGTTAAAGGAAAATCAAAGTAACTTTGTCTCTAGTTTCATATGTGCAGATTCTGGTTTATATAATTCTTTTTTTTCATGCATCTTTGAACATTATTACCCAAGATGCTTCCAAGCAAGAGCAGACCATACAATCATATTTTTCTTTGGTATTATCTTTAGGAAGAATATTTTTTAATATAATGTCTGTGACTTTAGCCATGTTGTACGAATATTTTCCCTAGCAGCCTTTCATTTCACGGGAGGCTGATTAATCTGAAAAGAAAAGTTTTTATATTTTTAACAATATTTATTTTTCACTAGCTGTACCCGGCCACGCGTTGCTGTGGCTCGGTCTGGTTAAATGGAAAAGAAAGAAAAGAGAAAGCGCACGTTTGTAATATGTTTAATTTCACAATGCTAGCGTGTGTTGCTTTTACGTCCAACAGATGGCGCTGTTTTTCAAAAACATGTTTTTACCTGTCACAGGTGTGACTATCTATATAATAGTAGGTATATAAAAACACGCGCGTATTCGAATGCAACGTTGTGTCAAAATTTCAAAGCAATTGGTGAAGAACTTTCGGAGATTTAAGATTTTGAACAAATGAACATTTACATTTTTATTTATATAGATATTTATATAGCCTCCTATCTCACATGAAAGTGATTCCAGGCCACATACAGCACTTAATTAACAAAAACATAAACATAAAAACATCACAATTAAAATAACAAAAAGACACACAAAACAGGAGAGTGTAATGTTAACTACAGTAAGGGAGCCCTCACAAAAAGCCATCGCAAAATCTCCTCCATCCCTTGGGACCTTCAGGCCTAATAACATAGCCAGGTCTTGAGAGACTTGCGAAACGTTGAGAGGGATAAACGGTTACTAGCTACCAGTATAAACAATTATGATTGCCAGTAAGTTTAACTTATAATTAACACTTGATTTATTGTTTCTACTCCCAGATGGCTTTTCCTCCAGCACATGCCTCAAGCTCATATTAGTTATAGAAGACAGCACTATAGTTTTTAGCTCACTTTTATCATTCTCTCATTTCTGTGATTATGGGATTCCTATCTATCCCACGCAACGGATAAAGCTGCTGTGCCAAGGCAGATAGGCAGACCAGGAGGTATAAAAAACAGAGGATTTGGAAGACCTCTTGAGTGATTGACCATTTGCCATTTCAAATGGGTACACTGGTGAGGACATTATAGTTCTGGTTCCTGCAGTCAAGAGTCAGGAACATGTCAAAAACTGGAAGGAGTGAGCCAGAAATACTTAGGGGTTGGTAAATTCTCCATCATGTCATAAGAGGTGGTTGATTTGAGTAATAACAGATCCCACCTTCCCCCCCCACTCCGCCCCCACCCTCCCCATGTATCTTTGGTTTTAATGTTTGTTTTTAACTTTTTACGTTTTAGCTTTTATGTAACTGTAAGCCGCCCAGAGTTACCCTATGGTAAGATGGCCGGCCGATACATTTTATAAACAAATAAACAAAAACAAACATAAGATGGTCTTAATTCCATAAGAGAATAGAGTGAGATGAACAAAAATAAATTTTCTACCAGTCCATTGTTTCCTGCACAAATCCATTTGAACTTCAGTTGTGGTAATTTGGCCAGGATGATTTTTTTTATATATATTGGGATATTGGTCAAATTGCTCATTTAGGACAACAAGATACATAAACTAGCACAAGGTTGCAAAGCAGAAAATCATTAAATTAATTGATTCAGATCTGCCAACTGACTTTATGAGAAGTGTAGGTTTGGAGCAAAATCTATATAAATAAAAATGTAAATGTTCGTTTGTTCAAGATCTTAAATCTCCAAAAGTTCTTCACCGATTGCTTTGAAATTTTGACACAACGTTGCATTCGAATACGCGCGTGTTTTTATATACCTACTATTATATAGATGTCACACCTATGACAGGTAAAAACATGCTTGAACAATTATGTTGCGTGTTCTAGAGTCGGCAAACCAGACAATCTCTATATCTGCACAGACAATGGAACAACAAAAAATATTGTATACCCACAAGCATTGTGAAATTAAACATATTACAAACGTGCACTTTCTCTTTTCTTTCTTTTCCATTTAACCAGACTGAGCCACAGCAACGCGTGGCCAGGTATAGCTAGTTTGGAATAAACTTTGGAGTAAAAAGAGAACCAGTTTTGTCTAGTGGCTAAGGCACCAGGCTAGAAAGCCAGAGACCGTGAGTTCTAGTCTCTGTCTTAGCCATGAAAGCCAGCTGGTGACCTTGGGTCAGTCATTCTCAGCCTTAGTGACCTACAGCATTGCTGTGGGGAAAATAGAAGGAAAGTGTGCTGGATATGTTTGCTGCCTTGAATTATTTGTAAAAATACTAAAGGCAGGTTACAAATAAATAAATATAAAATGTATAAACTTCAGAGTAGGACCAAAGATTTTAGTTCATTTTCTTGCCATCTCTTTCTTTGATATTGCTCATTATACTTCTCTGAACTAGTTTTGATTTTGTAAGATAATCTTCAGCTATGACAGACTGGGGAGGTGGCGTTACCAGAGATTTCTTGGGAACCACATGGTGACTATTATTCGCACAGTAAATTACTTTCTTTTCTTTTATTCATTTGTAGGTCTCTATTGTTAGCTTAACAGCGAACGCCTTGGGCTACTCTGAACTTGGTGCAATTAAATCTCTTAGGACTTTAAGAGCTTTAAGACCTCTAAGAGCCTTGTCACGGTTCGAAGGAATGAGGGTAAGAAAAATATGAAATAACATATGCTTGAAGCAAATTATTTTCTTAAAGATATGCTACAAATGTGTATCTCAAAGCCACTAATTTAAATTTCATTTAAAGTGGCCCTGGGCAACATCCTACTTCTATTCCCTTAGCCTCTAGGCAACATGAGAGAAATAATTCCAATATATCTAGGCAGTGTCTAAAGGCACTTATTTACCTCATTGTCAGATTATTTATTTTCATTTAAATCACATCTCTGAAATGGTGGATCTAATACATCATTAGAGAAGCTCCTTGATTCAAAAAATCAAGAGGTTGAATAGACACCTGGTTGGTCAACCCAAATCCTTGAAGTTCATATGACAGCCAGGATATATATTAGTGTGAAATAACCAACAACCAATTATTTCCAGATTAATTCCGCAGATCTATCTAGCCCTTTCGATAACACACATATTTGGAGGGCCCACATGCATACATTTCTAGGCTAACTCAGAACTGCAGCTACTTGTTTTCTTGCTGTATTTTTAGGGTAACATATTAACCAGATGGAAAATTATTTTCATAAGCCTCTGTTGCTTCATTATGGACTGTCCTTCCCATCTAGCTACAGAGACTATATGGAGAAGATAATTGAGCAATGTAATGATGATAACATCGAGGGTTATTTGATATTTAAATGCTAATATTTCCTTATAATTCATTTTCCTCTGACTTGCAATTTGGTTCTTCAAATGTGTGAGGAAAGAGTATTTTTAGGGTTAGGGTATTGATAGGATACTGCACTGGAGTTATAAAACCTTCAATATATGTTCTGCCACATATTATGGTCCTTCTTCTTCAATTTTGTGAAGCTAAATTCTGGAAAGTCTTTCTTCCTCAAATCTTTCCCTAAATTTGTAATTTTCTTTGTAATCTATTATTACCATTACTGCCTTCAGCTGAGATTAAATTATAGCACAAAATTGCCAAGAAGCAAAACTAGGAATTAGAAATTTCCCTTTTCCTATCTCACTTTAGCAAATATGTTTTCACTTCTTTGGCTTCATGTGTTTATTACTTTGTATTACAGGTAGTGGTGAACGCTCTCTTGGGAGCAATTCCATCTATCATGAACGTGCTTCTTGTATGCCTTATATTCTGGCTAATCTTTAGCATTATGGGAGTGAACCTCTTTGCTGGCAAGTTCTACCACTGTGTTAATACCACAACTGGGGAAATGTTCAGCATTGATGAAGTTGACAATCAGACTGAGTGTGAGAATCTCATTGAAAAAAATGAAACAGCCAGATGGAAAAATGTGAAAGTCAACTTCGATAATGTGGGACTTGGCTACCTCTCTCTGCTTCAAGTAGTAAGTAGTTGTTCTTCCTATATTAAAATTTGAACAATGCAACCATTTTATTTTTCTCCCTTTAGCAGGTTTTCCTTTATTAGAAAATTCCATCAATGTGAACAGTCAGTCACTTTACAAATGATTCAGCTGCCAGGTTTTGAAATGGATTGATTTTGCATCGTACGTGGCATTCCTTAATCTTTCTCTTCTAAGCTCTTCTCTAAAATACACCTGTTAGCAAACTTTTTGCATGCCATATAAATTATATCTTATCCATGAAATAAATGATCATTAGTAAAATGCAGAGGTGCCAGTGATAGGTCGTTTATTTATTTCACTATACCTGGTGCAATCAAGCTATCTGACTCACCTCTATTTAATAAATAGAAATTATCCATAACTGGAGAAGAGACCATTGGATATAGAGAATGGCTGTTTTTCAGAGCTATACTAGGCTAGCAATGGTAGCTAGACAGAACGCAACTCTGGGTGAAATTCAACACGGTCTGATGGGAAATTACCTGTCTTTTTTTACTTCCTGTAACACAATCTGGTACCAACTCCCCAAGAATTCTCCTGAACAGATTTTAAATATATGTGGGTTGAAAGACATATTTTGAAAGAGAAAACTGGCAGGGGGACATGGAGTCTTCTAAAAGACATTTACAATTTACACAACAGGAACATTTAGGAATTGTGTACTGTGTGCTTTTATTCCCTTGCTTAAAATATAATTGCCTGACTGCTGTTTGCAGGCCACCTTCAAAGGCTGGATGGACATCATGTATGCAGCTGTAGATTCACGAAATGTAAGTAAGCTATTGGTTAGGGAAACCAATACTGGACTGCAAAAATACGATTGACTACAAGACGGCAGCAAAGATATACATGAAATGTGCATTCTTGCTACCATCTTGTAATTGCCTGGTAGACCAAACACAGAGGGTTTTACTACATGGACACTTACCTCCAAATCCTCCATAGCTACTCATCAGATTAGCAAGTGTTTCCCCGGAAGGGTCCAATTCTTTTTCACATTAAAAGCTAAGTCAGGCAGGATTAAAGCAACCTTGCCATTGATCATAGAGTTTGTCTGCTTTCTTTTCTTTTTCAAAGAGGCAAGGCAGGTAGGATGCTGGGATGAGAAGGTTATGGCTGGAAGATACTTCTGTGTGCTTGTTTGTTTGTTTGTTTCCCAGCGTATTTTACCTTAGAGGAGAATTTAAGAGGTAAGAATGGAGTCATAACCTCACCTCAGAAAAACAGAAGTGAAAAATGTTAAGAGGTAAAATGGATGCCATAAAGGCTTAAGGCACCCATTTTTGCTATTAAATCTTCCAATACTTTCCCCACTCCTTCAATGTAAGTAAAGATTTTAAAAATGGGTCTCAAATACTCCAGTGTGTCTAAAGCCCAAGAGGAAATACAGGACTCCTTTCCTATCAAAGGATAATGACTGGAAGTAAGGTCTATGGAGATTCTCAGTCATCCAGGTCATAATTGTCCCAAAGATGCTTTGTCACGAGGCAACTGGACTTTCTTGTTTTTCTTTGAAGATGTTTCGCAAAACGTCTTCAAAGAAAAAACAAGAAAGTCCAGTTTGCTCCTGAAAAAGCATCTTTGGGACAACTAGAAGTAATAAAAAAAATATTACCTTGTGCTAGTTATAAAAATTTCAAGTAAAAAAGAAATGACTCAATCCAGTCATAATACTTCCCATTCTGATCTTTAAAAAAAATCAGACTATCTTAGCCATAGATAATACTTAAAAATTTTCATTAGAATATAGACTTTAATTTTTTCATTGCAATACATGAGTAGCTGATGCAAAACGTTCCCAGAATAGGAACTATATGAATGCATATTTACGGTATTCATCTGTAACTATGATACAGGTCAAGAATACTTCAAATACAACATGATATGGAATACAATAAAAACTAAGAAATAAAATCTAAAACATTGCTTTGCACATTAAGAACAGTAAAAAAGAATCTCAGATGCCTTTTATTTGATAAAGTTTTCTGTCATAATTTTATCCTATTTCCGAGAAGCAAAAAGAAAAGAGAATCAGATGTCAAAAACACACAGACACACACACATCAACATATACTTTTTGTTTCCTTATACTTTTGTGTATATGTGTACATGTAGTTTCAAGAAGCCAGACGAGTTATAGTTCCATAGCTACAAATTACACAAGCTTCATTGCATATAGTAAAAGAAATGTGTGATATAAATGGGAGATCTCCTTTTGTTGAAATGACTGTTTTCCAAGAAAGCAGTAAAACTCTTTCCCAATGACTGGTCCCAATGAAAAACTGTGGCCACATGCTTAAAGCTAACATTTTTTAATTGCATTAACATATTGTATCATAATTGGCAGAATGCATAGGCTCTATCTCATCCAGAAAGTCTGTTTCATTCATTTCCATTTGGTTTCTTCTCACTTTCTCCTAAGCTCACGATGTGTCTTTCTTTTTAACTACTTCTTTGACTCAAAACACCTCAATTGTCTATTAGCAAAAGCCATGTGCTCTAGCATGAAATCTACATCAGTCGATTTTAGAGAGGAGAGCAAATAGAGAAAAGTGAATAATAACTGAGAAGAAAATGCTTTAATTTGAATTTGAATTTGAATTTGAATTTATTGAATTTTGAATTTGAATTTATTATATTTATACCCCGCCCTTCTCCCGGAGGACTCAGGGCGGCTTACAGCCAGTTTAAAAACAGTTTGATACAGATACAAAATATAAAATTTAAGAGAATCATTAAAAATAAATATTTAAATAGGCCGCTTCTACTAAAATTTAGTTAAAACCAATTTAAAATACCCCTAGGCCAGTCCTGCCCGCTGAAACAACCAAGTCTTGAGGGCGCGGCAGAAGGAGGGAAGATCCGGAATCACCCGGATCTCTGGGGGCAGCTCGTTCCAGAGGGTGGGTGCTCCGACAGAGAAGGCTCTCCCCCTGGGGGTCGCCAGCCGGCACTGTCTGGTTGACGGCACCCTGAGGAGGGCCTCTCTGTGGGAGCGTATCGGCCGGTGGGAGGTAATCTGTGGCAGAAGGCGGTCTCGGAGGTAA